GTTGGTAGAAGATAAAATATTCAATTCAACTATCATTATCTGTTGATTTATAAAATATTGGAAGAAGTATTTGGGAAAACTTGATACATAGTTAGGATTTCTGATACGAATAGTAAAACAATAGGAATGAAATTTATTCAGATTTTGGTATATGAATGACTCATTGGGAAATATTTAATTATTTTTTGAGTGCCTTAAAGGACAATTTGGATAGATTATTGTTGGGAGAAGATAAAATATTCAATTCAACTATCATTATCTGTTGATTTATAAAATATTGGAAGAAGTATTTGGGAAAACTTGATACATAGTTAGAGGTTGCAGAATACTTAAATTATAGGTAAAAATATAAGAAAAACATTCTTTATGACATATGAATGTTAGAACAAATAAATCATGTAAGAGTTCAAAAGGGGAGTTAACTCTGCAACTATTAGAAAAAATTAGGTGTAAGAGATAGAAAGTAAAAATATATATATCGCAGAACAGTGTTTATAATATGTTCTAAATATATATAAATTCACATACATATGTGATAAAAATTTATGTATATATGTGTAGAAAATTTAAGGAAGAATAGAAAATCATTTTGAACAGTGATTACATCTGAAAGGTCATATAAACATTAAACAGTGATTATGCAAGGGAAGGCTGAAAATTACAAAGTTGGAAGAATTTTATTACTGCATACAATTCTTTTAAAATTATGAGTATATTAATGACTTTATAATAGTTTAATAAACTTAGAGGTTTTTTTGTTGATAACTTTGGAATAATAGTTTTAATTTTTTTTTAAATGAGGCAGTATTAAGTCTGATGTCTTAACCTATATTCTAAAGTAAGAATTTCATTTAGGTATTCCAGTTGTGTGGTATGGTGTAATCAAAGGTGGGAACATGCATGACCACTTTAAGGGCAATCAAAATGCCTGAAGTTCATTTAAGGACATAATGGAAATTTGGGGGTGGGTATTGAGAAAGAACTTGGATGACCTCCTAAGGAGTTTAGACTTCTTAAATACAATGAAGATTAACTGAAGTTATTTGAGCAGGAAAATTAGAATGATTCTTTCATAGTAGGTGCTCTGTGAATAAATGGTATTGATAAAGTTTTTAAAAGGCAATCAGTCCAAAATATTGCTAGCAGATTAATGGGGATTAAAAGACAAATGAGGGCAGGGAGATCAATTACTGTAGGTCAGAAATGATGTGATAGGGTTGATATAGGCAGATAGCAGTGGCAAAGAAGAAAGAAGAAAGTGTAGAGGACAGAAACTTGTTCAGTGAAAGGCATTGTGGCACTTTATATATTTTATTCCATCATTCATTTATCAAATATGTACTGAGTACCTAATATATGAAAGGGATTATTCTGGATCTTCAACATTCAGTGGTAGATAACACTGACAAAGTTCTTGCCCTCATTAAGTCCAGTGGAAAGTCACAGAAAATACATAAGCTGAAAACAAAAACAAAAAGAAAACAACCATAGAACATTAGACAGTGTTAGTTGCTAAAGAAAATAAAATCAGGCACTAACACAGGCTGAAAGGGGTGGAGATTGGTCTACATTAGCTAGGGTGGATGGGGAATGCCTTTCTGAAAAAATATTAATATCTTCATCGTTTCCTTTCATGTGGAAAAATATTACTCTCATTTCACAGAAGAAAATGAAGTATAGTGAGGTTTAGGAACTTACCTTATATCAGACAGATAGTGAGTCACAAAGCTGGGATTTCAGCAGGTCTGTCTTGATTCCCCAGTCCTGCAATCAACAATGGCATCACAAATGGCAGACAGTGCAAAGACTTTACTGGAGTTTTTTTTTTTTTTAACTGATTGAATGTAGGAGGAGAAGAATAAGTGAGGATATGTTCCTCTACTATTTTGAATATGCGTAACTGGGTTAATGACTTATTTAACAGAAATGGCAGCATTTAAAGGATTTGGGCAGAAAGATGAGTTCGATCATGTTTATGTGAGGCAGGATATTGATGGAGAGATACCAGCTACATATTGGAAATGAAGAACTGAAATTCAGAAATAGTGTTTGATTCTTGAGGTGTAAATCCAGTAGTTGTTTCCTTGTGGTCGTAGTTGAAGCCAAGCTTTCTCAGGAAAATATAGGGATTGATGAAGGCTGAGAACTAAGGACAGATACTTGGGGCACAGTTTCATTTTGTGGGTAGAAAGCAGTGGATATAATGAGGATAACAGAGAATTGATTCTCGCAGGTAGGACTAAAAACAGGCATAGCTATTATTATCATTTTAGGTTAAGGGAAAAAATTGATTTAAAAATGAAGAATGTTTTTAAATGGTCAAGGAAAATTAGAACTGATAAAAAAGTATATTGAAAGGTTTTCAATTTTTTAAAATTATTATGGGTACATAATTGCATATATTTATAAGGTACATGTGGTGTTTTGATACAGGCATACAATGTATAAGGATCAAATCAGAGTAATTGAGGTACCCAGCACCTCAAGCATTTATCATTTCTTTGTGTTAGGAACATTCTAATTCTGCTCTTTGAGTTATTTTAAAATATACAATAAATTATTGTTAGTAATAGTCACTCTATTGTGCTGCTAAGTACTAGACCTTATTCATTCTATCAAACTGTATTTTGTACCCATTAATCATCCTTACTTTATCACCTTCTTCCCAGTACCCTTCCCAGTCTCTGGTAACCATCATTCTACTTTCTATCTCTATGACTTCAATTTTTATTATTTTTTTTAATTTTTAGCTCCCATATATAAGTGAGAACATGTGAAACTTCTCTTTATGTGCACTTAACAAAATGTCCTCCAGTTCTGTGTTGTTGCAAATGACAGGATTTCATTCTTTTTTTGTGGCTGAATAATACTCCATTGTGTATATGTACTACATTTTTTTAATCCATTCATCCATTGGTGGACACTTAGATTGACACCATATCTTGGCTACTGTGAATAGTTTTGCAGTAAACATGGGGATGCAGGTAGCTCTTGAATGTGCTAGTTTCCTTTCTTTTGGATATGTACCCAGCAGTGAGATTACTAGATTATATGGTAGCTTGATTTTAATATTTCGAGCAACCTCCATACTGTTCTCTGTAGTGGCTGTATTAATTTATATTCCCACCAGCAGTGTGTGAGGATTCCCCTTGTAAGACTTTTTGATGGTGAAGAGGTTATTGCATCTTTGTAATTTTAATAGCTTGAAGGTGCTGGAAATGAATTATAATGGGTTAATCTGTAATTGCCAAATATAGGACCTTTTCTGAGAAAATTTTGGATAGAGGAAAGATAAAGCCTTAACTATAGGAAATAGGATTGACGGAAGATTTTTGTAAAGTGAGGTGGTACTTACTTCAACATATTTTTAAGCTGAGGAAATATATTTTTATTAAAAATAAAAAGAGATTGAAAATAACAGAAATGAAATAATTTGGGAAAAACATTGTGGAGAAAGTACGAATGGAAGACAACACAAACAGAGAAAGACTTTATGAGATATGGGAATACAAGATGCTGACACAATTTTTATGGGTTGTGGAGATTTAAAGAAATCTTTTTGAACAATAGTTGTTGAGTTTACCTATAAATTTTTGCTCATTACTTCAAAGAAGATATAGGCTTATGTTAACATAAAATCTGCTACGTGAATGTTAAGGTGGTTTTATTTATAATAGCCCCAAACTGGAAAACCGCCATTCAATGAATAAATGACTAAACAAACTGATACATCCTTACCATGGAATAGTACTCAACAATAAAAAGGAACAAGTTATTGATATACTTAAAATAACT